AGTGAAGATTTTTTTTTTCTCTCTCTCTCTCTTTTTATTTTGTTTTAATTAATTGCACCCTTTTATTTTTAGAAATAAGTAAACTGTATGCTCAGGCAAGCATATCTAAGGGGTTAAAGAGCATCACGTTTTGCGTTAGGGCATACACTCAGGTCAGTTTTAACCCATGGGTTTAAAAGAAGACTTATCAGATTTTATTACTCATTGTAAAAACACACACATCAAATTAAAAAAAACGATCCTCTGTATTATGACAATGCTGTCAGACAGGTTTGTCAGGTTTCATATATTTGAGGAACAAACAGGGTACAATGTACTGTAAAATAACCGTGCACGTTAGCAACAACTCACCTCTTTTAGCTTTCGTTAGTCTTATTATTGCTCACTTCATCACACGGTTCTTCATTATTTTAATGAGTCTTGCATGTTGGCATGACTGGGTCCTGATAGCCTTATCTTATGACTGTATTGATCGTTTGTGGTGTGAGTGTTACTTTCATTTGTTTCTCTTGCATAGCGATGATCTTTTTAACATTTTTAGACCCACTTGAGTTTAGATTTGATTGATGTCATGGCATAAGTTGATCTCTGAGCTTTTTATGGTTACGATTTTAATGAATTTTTCAGATTGTGCTTTGTATACTGTCTGTATACTAGCTGTAGTTTGTGATTAGTAAACATTCCCCTCTGTGCTGTAGCCTTGTCTTGCACATATATCTACACACGATCACCAGACAAAAGGTTAATTATGGCAGGGAAGCTGAGCTTTAGTATGTAAACATCCCTCCATCTGTCCTATGAAACATTTTAAGAGGAACTGTAAACACCTGGATAAATTGATTATTGCTTGTATGCTATAAATGAGGATGTTGATGGACAGAGCTTAGGTCTCACAGTGTGTTGCTTCATAATTTCATGCTTGTCAGCTTGTTGTTGTCTTGTGATGAAGTTTTAAAAGCTGTATTATAGCGACATAAACATCCAGTCACTCTGTCTTGAACCCCTGAGTCCTTTTTCAGTTAATGCCTTCTGGTTCTCCTGTCTTATTTGCTAAATGCAACTGGACCTATTTCTTAATATAAATGTTACAATAGATGGATGGATAGTTTGTCACATATATGGGCACCCTGATGTGTGGCTGCATGCAAAAGCCAGTGCAGAGCACCCCCTGCTGGGGAAAGTGTGACAATAGCGTCTCACGTGAGAGGATGAAACGATAACTTGCCCATGATTTGAGTATAGCCTTTTATTTTCAAGTTTTTGAGTTGGATCAGCAGCTAGGCGAGCCAACAGCTTCTTTTGATCTTATTTAGTTTTAACATGTAAGAACAATTAATTCAATGTAGATTTCCATGGTTTTATTTCATTCTGTACAAAGGATAACTCCAAAGCCATCAAATCATCACATTTTAGAAAATGTCTGAGTACCGCTGACACTTGAATGGCACAAAGTACTTTCTGTGACTGAGGGTTTACTGTTAATTTGAGCTTGCTGTGCAGAATAGGAAGCAAAACAGATGGATTTTTTTTTTTTTAAAGAGAAGCCTTAGAAAACAAAGAGCTGACCTTATTGCTTTTTCAAAACACCTTTGAGTGCACAGATCTTTACAACAATCTTGTGATCATGCCTTTTTAAAAACAGATCTGGTTATTGTAGAGTCCAACTCTTTAACATAGGATTACTTCACTCAACCAGCAGCCATTTTCCCCCACCTAACCATCTTTATTCACATGTACAAAAGTTCTAATTCTACTGTGTGTGTGAACATGTATGTTTTCTTTATGTCATTTTAAAACGGCCCTCTGGATCCCAGAGAATGCTTTAAAAATCAAGAGAATTGTATCTTAAAATGCTGTGTTTGTCACTCTCTGTTAGCAGTTCGCCAAGGTACAACTGCAAAATCTGTGAATTGCAATGTCCAAGTCTAATAGAGCAGACAAGGTACACTTTACACTGGTGCCACAAGGCTCAGGTGAATGATTGCAGTGTGACGTTTTATTGTTAAATCTGTGAATCATTTCATTTCTGTGCTACACTTGATGTGGAATTCCTTTTTTATTGCCGTTGTCATAAAGACATTTTAAACGTATGCATCTTTGAAAGTGTGTTCTATATTACAGACATGACCTGTGGATTGAGGTGGCCTTACAGCAAAAGGATGCTTGGACTGTATGCAGTCTTTCTCCTCTCTTCCTCCTCCTCTCTCTTGCTTAGTTGTAGTATGGTACATTTTAAAATGTGAGCGCCCTCTTTCTACGCCAATATACACAATCATTTGTGCATATTTTTGTTTTTTGTTTTTTTTTACATGCTTTTGGAAAAAAATAAATAAATAAAATGCTGGTGTTGATTTAACACACTGAGTTTTACATTGTCTTTATTTGTGGTGAAATACTTAGATCTAATAAAGTTTAGCTGTAATGGAAGTAATCCAAAAGGTAATTGGCTACATTTAAGTACAACTTTGAAGTACTTGATACACTATACTTATATTCTAATACACTGCAGTGAAAAATACTGCCCATCTTACTCTGCAATATTTATATTTATATTACAGCTTTTTTGTTATATTTTGTAATATATTTTGTTTTTGAATGTGGTTTAGTTAGTTGCTGTTCTTACTGGAGTAACTTTGACCACAAAATATTATCTGGAATTAACAAAGTATTATGAATATAGAACTGTCACGGCTGCAAAGCCAGTGCGTTAAAGGAACGGACCCAAAATCAGAGACAGGAGAAAACAAACTAAGTTTAACAAAAAGCGAGCCGTTTATTTGGCTGAAAAACATGAATACAAAATCCAAAGCAAAACTAACAGTAGCGAAAACAAAACTGGAAAGACTAGACCAGGGGTGTCGAACTCCAGGCCTCGAGGGCCGGTGTCCTGCAGGTTTTAGATCTCACGCTGGGTCATCACACCTGAGTTTATTACCAGGCCTCTGGAGATCATTTAGCCATTTAAAATCAGCTGTGTTTCGACACCTGTGGACTAGACTAACAGCTATGACCAAAGAGAACATGAACATGATTATGAGCAGGAGCATGAGAGAAGGTATAGGACCAAAAAAAAAAAAGTGAACTTGAAACATGAACATGCCCTGAACAGAACCTGATGTGGAGAAAGGAAAACAGACAACCTGACAAAGACTGAATGAAAACTCACAGACTAAATACACAGAAGAGGTGATCAGGGGAAGTGGAAACACATGGGAAAACAGCTGACTGGAATGAACATAATGACAAAACACATTGAACATGGAAACACCCGACTCTTCAAAATAAAACAGGAAACATTGAGAGACGTAGACATGACAACACAAGCTTGGCAATATGGAACACACAAACATAAAACATATGACAGACTAGGGAGACACGGAACACCAGAAGAGACATAAGAATGGACAAGGGAGATGAGAGCACAAGCATAACTAAAGGTAAAACACTGAGGCCAAGATAGAAAAAAATGATAAATAACTCTAAATATGTTTTATATTTTAGATTCCTGAAAGTAGCCACCCCTTTGCTTTGTTGACAGCATAGGAAACCCTTGGCCTCTCAATGAGCTTCATGATGTAGTCACCTGAAATGGTTTTCACTTCACAGGTGGGCCTTGTCAGGGTTTATTTGTGGAATTTCTTGCCTTCTTAATGGGGTTGGGATCATCAGTTGTGTTGTGCAGAAGTCAGGTTAATACACAGCTGACAGCTCTATTTGACAACTGTTAGAATTCATATTATGGCAAGAACCAATCAGCTAAGTAAAGAGAAGCGATAGTCCATCATTACTCTAAGAACTGAAGGTCAATCACTCTGGAAAATTGGTAAAACTTTGAATGTGTCCCCAAGTCCAGTGGCAAAAACCATCAAGCACTACAATGAAACTGATTCACATGAGGACCAGCCCAGGAAAGGAAGACTAAGAGTCATCTCTGCTGCTGAGAATAAATTCATCCGAGTCACCAGCCTCAGAAATCACAAGTTAACAGCACCTCAGATTACAGACCAGATAAATGCCACACAGAGTTCCAGCAGCAGACAGATCTCTCCATCAACTGTTTAGAGGAGACCGTGCAAATCAGGGCTTTATGGTCACTTAGCTGCTAAGAAGCCACTACTAAGGAAAATCGACAAACAAAGAGATTTGTTTGGGCCAAGAAAGACAAGGAATGGACATTAGACCAGTGGAAATCTGTGCTTTGGTCTGATGAGTCTAAATTTGAGATCTTTGGTTCCACCCACAGTGTCTTTGTGCAACGCAGAAAAGGTGAACGGATGGTCTCTACATGCATGGTCCCCACTGTGAAGGCAATATGATGGTGTGGGGGGACTTTGCTGGTAACACTGTTGGGGATCTATTCAAAATTGAAGACACACCCAGCATGGCTACCACAGCATCCTGCAGCGACATGCCATCCCATCCGGTTTGCATTTAGTTAGTTATTTTTCAACAGGAAAATGACCCCAAACACACCTCCGGGTCGGTAAGGGCTATTTGACCAAGAAGGAGAGTGATGAATTGTGTGTCCAAACTTTTGACTGGTGTGTGTGTGTGTGTGTGTGAGTGTGTGCGCGCGCGCGCCCGCGCGCGAGCGTGTTTCTGCTTCTTTTAGATAAATTGCATATATTGTATAATTGTTGCATTACAATGCGCAATAAATGTTTCAAATACATGCAACAATAATCCTATGATATAATAAAGTACAACCCGTTGACCTTTTTACATAAGTATTCCACTCGCTCCAGGTCCAGTACTGCTGAAACCAAAATAAAATGAAAATACTTGACTTCAAATACTTCACGTTAGATTATTCTAACGTGTCATTTAAATTCAATCAGGGAATGCACGTTATTGTTCAATCTTAAAGGAAACATTGGATGACTTCTTAGACGGATGAGGACTGTTAAATTAAAAGCTGCGAATTTCGGATTTCCCAACTCTTTTTCACGGCAGCAAACGCTTCACGACGTCACAGCTGGTCCGCCCCTCCAATAATATTGTGCGCGCTCCAGAAAGAACACTTCCACCGAGTAACAGCGCGTCCCCGCGGCTGCTCGGCTCTAATTTAGATAGTTTAGGAGTCAGAAATCCCCCCGGGAATAAATCATCGTTATTACTTGCATTTGGATGCCGGACAGTGAAGCATCTGGGAAACATGGATACAACCTTTTCGAGCCGTTTTCTTGACTTCTTGGAAGCATAAAAGCTGGTTCCGGTGGCGATATTTTTTCTGTCAGGAAGTTTGACGTATTCAGCTGAAGATTATTTCTTGCTTTGTTTTGGTTCGGAAAAGTTGTGGACGACCGCTGGTTCCTTTCAACAAACGACATCTTTGTTACTGTCGCTAAAAACAGACCGAGCTCGTCTAATGTACGTTTTTTTTTTTTTTTTTTTTTACATATCACTTTGCTGTTTATATGAATACTCCAGGATCTACAATTTTAGAGTCTGCAGCCCTGCGACGTTTAAACATCGATGGACTTTATCTTACTTGGCTTCGCATGACATAACGCATCTGGTTAAAGTATATAATAAACTCAAAGGTAGTACTTTTTTCTGCCAATGTCCCAATAGTCTGTGTTATTTTTAAGTCTGAACCCAGAACGGTGCTATCTCAATTAAATTAATCTGCACATTTTTATAGGCCAGATAGGCCTTCGTGTATTCTTCCCCGATTATGTTATATCATCAATCACGTTGCAATGCGATGCAGTTATGTTCAATGCAACAATGAGAATAAAAAAACATCTTCTGCCTAGAATATTGTGGATTTAAACCTGGAACCACGGTCGAGGAAAATCTGCAAACTTAGCAGGAAGAGAGGCCATCAGAATCACGGAAATCGTACGGTCTTTCCTCTGGCGAGCTGCTACCCACAAATGGATTTCATACAGGCCATACGGTTACTGTTACACTTTGGTTTGGCAGCTTTTGTTCGTATTTAACACTGTAATGGGACACGGCTCTGAATACATTTCTAAATTCATCGATTTTTAGTGTGACTTCTAAAGATGTTTTGGAAATTTAAGTTTTCCAAGGATCCGAGGCTACAATGGCGCAAAAGTTTGCCTCTGGGCCACAGCTGGAGCTGTTTGATGTAGGTTTTCCCATCGGAACATTTTCTCTGTGAGGCTTACAGCTGCCTCTTGTGACCGTGCTTGTTTTTACAACCTGGAAAGAATCTGTGTGTGTGATCTAACTTTCCGTTAAAGAAGACAAGCCCCGGTACCTGGGGGGGTCAGCCCCGCCGATGGCACCTTTACAGTCACTCTTTGGTGTGTTGGTCTGACCGAGGACACTAATGGACGTTAACAACAGCTGGACCTACTGCGTCATTCCTGCCGCTAGACTACGGTGACCAGTCGGCTGTACGCGGGAGAACCTCGGTCCTGACCTGACCTGACCTGACCTGCCGACACTACAGGTGAGGGTTGTGAGCTACACCTGAGAGAAGTGATAGGTGTAAATTATGCGCTGTGTTCATGCGACAGGGAAAAATGTATATATTTGAAATATTTTTTATGTCTGTCTGCCAAAAACAGAAATGTAAACCTTTCTAATTATTTACGTGGGTCGGGTTTATTATTATTATTATTGTTGTTGTTATTGTTATTATTATTATTGAATAGGCTATGTCCTGGAAATTATTTGTTTTGCTGAATTAGTTGAATAAAGTCTAAGAAATTGACGGTATAAAAAGCTGGAGGGAATTGAAAATGAATATTGATTGTAGTTGTAGTATTTTCTAAAATGATTTGTCTGTGATCTCTTGTCTTAATCAGTCAGGGTTGAAAATGCCATTCAGCTTTCCACCTTTTTAATTGAGAAAAAAAATTAAATTCATATTCCATAGTGAATATATAACAGCTGTGCTTACAAAATTTAATAGCTTATCTTCCTCAAGCATGTGTGTCATTCCATTCTGTTCCATTTTCTGTATCTATCCGGTTCGGGTTGCGTGGGCACTCCATCTCATCTGGGGGACTGCTGAGACATTTCCAAGTCAGCTAAGACATTATCTCTCCAGTGTGTGCTTTTTCTACCCTGGAGCCTTCTCCCCGTTTGGACATGCTCAAAAAAACCTTCCTAGCACAGGACTTGGAGGAATTCTAGTTAGATGCCCAAACCGCCTCAACTGGCTCTTATCAATAGTAGAGTAGTGGCTCTGATGTGAGTCCCTCCCAAATCACTGAGCTCCTCATCTTTTCAATAAGGGAGAGCATCAGGCAGTAACTCGTCCCTGGCTTGGAGTCAGCAATCCACCCTTTTCTGGCTGAGGTTCATGGATTCAAACCTGGAGGTGCTGGTTCTCATTCCAGCTACTTAACACTTGCTTGCAAACCAACCCATGTTACGCTGGAGATCACTGCCTGATTAGGACGGAAAAACCACATCATCTGCAAAGAGCGGAGACGTGATCCTGAGGTTGCCAAAGCTGAAGCCCTCTGCCATGTGGCTATGCCTTAAAAATTCTATCCATAAAAGTTATGAACAGAATCTGCAACAAAGGGCCAGAAGCATCATCCTAAACTTCCAAGTGATGCTGCAGAAGCATGTCAAACGAGACAGCCACAAGTTCAGAGTCTTAAGGAACTCTGGGCAAATTTAATCCACCCCAGGGGTTCGACCACTAAAGAGCTTTTGACTACTTCAAAATCAGTCACAGTAATGGGCCAGTCACCCCTCCTTGTCCCCAGACTTTGCTTCTACTACAGAAGGTGTATCAGTGGGCTTGAGGAGTGACTATATCCTCTATTGAGGTCAGCAGAACCCCATCCCCATTGTAAACAGTGTGAGCAGGAAGCTGCTTCCCCTTCCTGAGTCACCTGACAGTTTGCCATAATTGCCAAGTGAGACCGAAAGTCTTGCTTCATTGCCTCCCCAGACTCTCAGACCCGTGTTTTTCACTATACGTTTGGGGTACGCCAAGTATGTCCAGCATCTTCTACCACCACCTGTTTTAACTTATAGCCAGGTGGTGATCAGTTTACAGCTCTGCTCATCTCTTTACCTGAGTGTCCAACACAAACTGCAACAGGCAGATGGTCTGATAACAAAAACAATCACAAAGTCAACCCGCCTGACCAAATCACTGCTGTGGATTGCCCCCTTCCTCCCAAACTTAACCCCCAACCAGCGATTGACTCCAGGGTGGGACCCCAGTAACCCTATCCCAGGGTATCCATGCCCCTTTTTGTTTGTTTGTTTGTTTTTCCTTCATCTTGTGAATCACTCTTAGTTTGGCCCCTCAAACAGGACCAATTTGCTTTGGGAGACCATACCAGGGGCAAATAGCACTCAACAACATAGCTCCTGGGATCATGTGTGCACACAAACCCCTCCATCATGATAAGGTGGCAATTCATGGAGGGGAGGGGGGGTGGCTGTACTATTTTGCAGCATACCCCCTTCTGCAGGTAAAATTAAATAAAACAACTGAACAAAAATCAACTTAACAGCTAAATTAATAACTTGTACCCAAAGCTCCACTGTGCAGTTATTTCTATTGATCTGAATTCCAGAGCAGCACAGGAAAGAGAGTGTGTCAGTGAAGTCTGAGATGGCAATGAACACCTACACTCAAGTACCGGTATAGTCGTTTGACAATATTCAAAGGTCTAAATTTAAGTGTGACAGAGTTTATCTTAACTTAAGTCAATACGGGAAGTCTTTGGGCCAGATTAGTTATGGGCATATAAAAGCATAAATCTGTTTTATGGACGATAAGTCAGGACTTCTGTGTCAGAACTTCCAGATACACAGTAACGTTTGTGTATCTGGAGACGTAAGTTTGTTTTCTTAACAATTACTGTTGAAAACTAACCTTGAATGACTTCATGTTACTATTTAAAGGAAAAGAGAGAATTGATAATGAGTGATGCAATTGCTTAGTAACTGCAATATTTTGCATGATGAAGTATTGAGAGGAGACATATTAGAGGATGCTTTGAAAGGCTAGGTTTAAATGCAACTATGAACCTAGAATAGAGCTCACTATAGGCTATTCCCCACGCCATCCTGGTTAGAGTTTAATTTTTGTCACATTTGTATTGAGGAGTAAGCAATGGGCCCATTTGCTGGATACATCTGACTTTGATTGCTAACTCCTGCTACTAAGACAACTTTGTTTTAAAGCTAATATACAGTAGTATATTAGCTTTAAAACAAAGTTGTCTTTATTCACAACACTTTTGCAAGCCTATCCATGAATGCAACAGAAGGTGCCAGCTTTCTGTCTTTAAATCTTTTTCGGTGGTTTTCATATTAACATGCACAATGAACATTTTGATGTACATTGTGCATAAGCTTTGACTTTCAGTGTATTTCCATGTGTGAAAACACTACAGAGGACGTTCTAAGACTTCACGTAGCCAACACAAGCACAAGCTCTTTGTTGAGATTGCAATATTTAAATGTGGTGGGTTGCACTAAATGAAAAGCACATGTGCACCTGAAACAGGACAGACATCAGGCCATGGGATTTTGCTGCGAAGCCCTCAGTCCTAATGCATCACTGGCTTGAGACAGGGGACTGTGGCTGAGAAAAACAGCCTCAGACTAAACACCTCTTAAAGCAGACAGAGAAGAGAGGGTGGAGGAAAATCCATGTAAATCCTGCTAGTCCTGGAAATGCGATACAAGGAAAATAAAGCAGGCACAGCTGACTGGACTGGTACAGTGCAGCTTTACTCTCCATTGAATTCCCCGAATTCCACTTGGGAGGTAATTAAAATCAGGAGAAGCAAGAGAGGGATGAGGGTAGCTTGGGGACTTGACAGAGAAGCTTGTTGTTGTGCTGTTGACCATAAGGACCACTTGAGTTGAGGTTTTGTTTCTAAATACTGTGTTGACTGTTCTCTTTCTCACACATTTTTTTAGGTAATGCATGAGGTAATTGCTCTGTTACCTCAAGTGTCTGTACACTAATGCAGCAGTGAGAAATACACGCTGCATAAATTCAGTGTTATTTACTTTGGAATTAGATGCTATAAACAAGTTCAAGGACTGCAGGACAAAACTATTTGGCACCTTCACCGTTGGCAGGGCAACTTGAGAGTAGCATAAGCTTGAAAGCAATGTGGCAACGCTCCGGCGACCACAGACGGACATGCCCTGCATTCCTGTGGGTGATTATTACCCAGAAAGCCACAAAGTCAATGAGTTGCCTCAGGTGCCGATGCTGCTTATTTCATGTACAGTAGAGTTTGTCGAGTTCTTGTTTTCCTTTAAGACAGCCTTTGACTACAGAATACAGACGGACAGCCTCTGCTGTTGGCTCCAGACTCAGACACTGTTGAACTTCTTGTCTGACCTTCTTTGACTGGGGTTTTTTTTTAGTCACAGCTATATTCTAAATCAAACCAGTCCTTAGTTTTCAAGACTTACTCAGCAGCTAATGATAGAATTTGTGTAGAGGGATTGATTTGCTGCAGTATATTTCAAGAAAAATAAAGCATGTGTCAAGTGTGGGTTCAAGTTTCTGGTCATAAACGTCTTCCTAAGGGTGCTGTGTGGTACACAGTTTCTATATCATATCACCAGATATTACATTGAGGTATCAGAACTGGGTGAGAAACAAGTCTGTGTATTTCTGGGGGAACAGCTGTTTTAAACTGTAGTTGCTGGCAGTGAGTCACTTGTATCTGGTTGACTGAACAATATTTACTCATTATTTGGGGCATTTGTGAAAACGAAGTTTGTGTTGAGACCTCAAAGTCTCAAGAAACTCTAAAGTGCTTTGTATTTGCCTTTGCCGAATTAGTTTAAATTCCATGGTTTATTGGTACAAATATGAGGGAAACCCTCTCCATTGAAGGAAATGCCTCAGTTTATAATGCTGTTGACGCCTTGAGCAGGGCTGATAATATTGCCTTGTTAACATCAACAATGGAGTTATGACACAACCGACTTTGAGTTTTGCAGCTCGTGCAAAGGAGGCTGTTTAAAGCTGGTAGTTACTTGAAACAGCAGAAAACTCCTCACAAAGAACATTTTTCCCATATGAACAAAGCCAGAATAATCACTGCCAGGGCAGCTTGAATTTCAGCCGTTTCCAACTGTCATTCTTTCTCATGGGCAAACTCACAATACACATTCTCACATGCACTGCACACTTTCTCATTCGCCTAGCCTTGCAGTCAGAAAAACTCTTTAGGTCTGTGGTCTGCAGGGTTCGGTTATGTGCCTGCAAGGAATGAGAAGAGATTTGTGTTGTAAATGAAAAAGAGATTCTCTGAAACACATTAAAAACTAATGTGTAATTTCATTACTGTAATTTCATATAAGACGGGTACAATATAACAAGTTCTTTGTCATGCCAGCGTTCTGGTCTTATTCTGCGATTCCTTTTTTTCCCTATTGTCTCCTCGTATACATAACATTTACCAGTAAGGTAGTGCAAGTTTTTAATGATGCCCTTTGTCATATCTGTTCTTGCCTCAATTATTGCATGCTTTATTCTCATAACTAATTGATTTCTGTGTTTACCACTAAAGGCTCTGGGAGTTGGTTGGCACAGCAGAGGCAACCCTGCAAGTTTCCGAAGACTGGTTTGTAGACCTCGATCACAAACAACGCCACAATGAGTAAGTCTTAGAGTAAACAACATTAAGAACAGACACACACACACCAATCACCATCCCCGAGGGCATAGCTGGTGCGACTTGCTTCTCCAGACAGTCAGGTGAAGTGGACTGGTTTTCAGCATTCTGGAGATAGGGGTCTGGTTCAGCCCCAGGGCTGTATGATGTCTGTCCAAGCTATACAAGGGGAATATTTTTCTTTCGTGAGCTTTTCCAGACAAGACAGAACTTGCCCTGAGATCAAATGTGGGAATAAGGCTATCAAAAACAAAGTACTTCTTTCAAGCCTCCAATACTCAGTCACAGGATAGTTTCAATAAAGCTGCAATTAAAGATGACTGATTGTCTTTTCACACCTTTTAGTGCAGAGATCATATCTCTTTCACTTTGTGCCGTGCTCACACCACTCATTTGTTAATCCACTGTCTAATTGTCTGCCTTTTGCTAACCTATTTTCCCCTGTAGATGAGAGGCAGGCTCTCCACTCTATAATGAAGGACCTCGTTGCCCTCCAGATGACGCGGCGGCAGCCTGTGTTGTCTCATGACAGCGGTAAACCCAAAACACCAGCACAGGCCAACAGACAGGTACAGCATCAGTCCATCGCAATTTAGCTATAAAGTAAGAATTAATTATCTAAAATTTCAGAAAATTAATGAAACTGAAGAACTTAAAATCTTACAAATCAAAAACAAAACATGCTGATCCAATATGAATACACAACATCAAGATTTTGTGAGTCTAAAAACACATAAGGTGAGTTTTGCAATGCAGTTCTGAAGACGTAAAGTTGTCATTTATTAGGCAAGACCCTTTAGAAACAGGTCTAAACAAAGGTTAAACCCTATAAATTTGTTTGTCTTCATAAGCTGCTTCCTCAGTTGTTGTGTCTTAAATGAATCCGTTGTAATGTTGTGTTTTGAAGGAATATATTTTCCTCTAAGTCGTGTAGTGAGAAATGAGTTTAATAAACATAATCATAACATAATAAACATAAATTGTTCTATAATTCAATTTAAAACCCCGAGTCTAGAGATCAGGGGGGACAAATGCGTCAAGCAAAGAATTTTTATTAGAGAAAACTTCTTTAATAGAGCTCAGTGTAAGTGTCCAGGACTATTTGGCAAAATTTTTTGATGCTTTTAGTATTTCTCCTGACGCACATGGTACATAGTTTTAGCAAAATTACATGAATTTCCAAAGTCACCACCAATTTGTCAAATAATTTTTTAGTTTTTCTAAAAAAGAAAAAAGAAAAAGTGGCACTTGGCCCACCTAAAATTTAATCTTGGTGTTTGCCCAAAGCAACGTTCTGGGAAATAAAACTCGTTCCCATTCCTGCAAAAGTTGCATCTAAAGATTGATATACATACTTGACTTTTATCTGTACAGTGTGTGTATATATAAAGCTTATGTGAGCACCTGACAAGTTTACAAAAGAAATTGGACACTAGGGAGCAAGGACCCTAGTTTTGTCCAAAGGTAGAATGGAAAAGTTCACAAGTAGTAGAAACAAATTCTTCCTCATTTCACAGTTTTACGTGGGCTGTTTGAAGAATCTTTGCCCGGGATATAATAATGCAAATTGTGGGGGATAGTAATAGTAGTGATATGACAATATTTAAAAGAGAAAAATACATCCAAGCTAAATTTGACCCGGGTTGTTGCTGTTCATGGGTTAATGGTCAGCATCCTGAATCCTAAGCTGTAGTTTTGTCCTCAATTTCCAGTATTACACTTTGTTTTTTTTTTGTCCAAATGAAAGCAATGGGAAATAACTTAGTTGGTAAGATTTAGAGCTGGTGGTAGGTGCAGTTTGTTACCTTTGGACAGGACCATGTTAGCTGATCTCTCCGTTTCCAGTCGGATCCTGGCTGTAGCTTCATGTTTTCTGATGGTCAGTCAGGAAGCAATCTCCTCATGTAACTCTACAAGAAGGTGAATAAGTTTGTTTCCTGTAGAATTATAACAAGAAATTCTCTCTCTGCTTGGCTATCCATGTAATCTCGGTAACTTTATTTGCAGTTGTTACGAGTGCAAGTTCTCTAAGAAATGAAAGAGGTACACATTGGCTTGGCTTTGTGTGAGACCCACAGGTGAAGTCTAATTGGTATGATCACCACTACTCCTCAGTGCAGCCTGAACTCTCTTAGGCAAGCTTTCTTGTAATTTACTTAATTAATCTTCAGCAATAATTTTACAGACGTCTTGAGGGACATTCTTAGGATGTTGGCTGCCTTTTGTTGCCTTCTGTCTGATTCCACGCCACTTCAGTAATAATACGATCTATCATTTGAGGAGGCCAATCCATGACTGCTGGAGTTTCATTGTGTTTTTTCTATACCTATATGCTCTGGAAGTGTGTTTGGGGATATTATCACACACTTTCTAGATGGTATTGCATGGTGGATCAAAATCTGACAGTATGTTTTTTCATGCATAATTCCATCAGTTTTGACAAGATTTCCAACACCACTGGCTGCAGCCCCAAACCAGACAGAGCCTTAATTGTGGTTTACAGATGGCTGTAGACACTCATTCTTGGCCCTTTTTTCTGACGTCATTTGACGCACGTACTGACGATTTGAACCAAAAATTTGGAATTTGTATTGATCACTCTGTAAGACCTGTTGCCACTGATTTTCACTCCAGTTCTCGTGGAGTCTGGCACACCTCAGGCTTTTCTCCCTGTTTCCCTTCCTTAAGAATGGCTTCTTGACAGCTATTCACTAAGACCATTTCTGATCAGGGTTCAGTGAACAGTAGATGGATCAATTGGAGGACAAAATGCAAAGGCCTGTGTCAGGTCTAAATTTGATTTTTTTTTTCTTATTTCTTAAAGACATGACTCATCCGAATCTTTGCCACCTAATTTTTGTTCTGCTTGTCTAGTTTCCTTAAAATTTTAAGGACACACTGCATAAGATATGCCAAGTGTGCAGCATATAGCTCTTCGCGAATCATCTTACTGGTGTAAGAATACTGTTTAGGGCTTAAACTTTGTTCTCATTGGCATTTTACATAGATTTAGTAAAGAAACAAGAAATAATTATGTGCTTTTCCACCGGGCCGCTAGTAACAAAGAATCAAAAGACGCAATTTAAAATTGGTTCTTTCCTAAGTTGTTAGTTATGTGTAGATACAACTTTGAGTAAAACAACATTTCTCTGAAAATGTTCAGGTACAACGACAACTGGTCTAAATAATGAGTGAAAAAGCAGTCAATCTCCAAAAGAAAATCTTTTAAAGACGTGCATTAAGATTAGCAAACCACTGCTCACTTTTTAAAAAATTGCAAGAAAATCTGGCTCCTGGAAAGCAAAATATAAAGAAATGAGAAGTTACTTGAGACGTTTGTACATTACTGTATTAGCACTCTTTGACCTTGCTATTTCTGCTTTCTTTCAGGACGATGTCAGGATAAAGTTTGAGTTCTCAGGAGAGAGGAGGTGAGTTTGGCGTGGTTTGCATTAACATGCATGTTGTGAATGTGTGGCTATCGTGCTTTCCAGTAGTTTACATTCATATGCAAGTGAGAGGGACTAATAACTTATGGAGGAGACATAAACACATTCACTTAGGCATGCAGCTGTTGTCACATGTTCCAGTTCATGAAAGAGCACTTCTCACAGTCTGACACACACACTTCATTCAGACTGGTATGTGAGCTGGAGAAGAGAAGAGAAGGGAAAAGGACTGTGGTTAGCCAGCGACTGCCAACATAAACCACAAATATGCAAGGTGTACATAGAAAAATCTGCACACACTCAAAACATCAGCTTGTGTATTTTGTTTGCATGTGTGCACGTAATTTAATGCAGTTTCTTTACCAACTGGTGTAAATCTTTCATAATTCCTTTGTCTGGATGATTCATTGCTGCTTTTCTTTTTGCAGGATCCTGGTCTTTGGACGACCTGTGCAGTTTGAGGAAATTCAGCAGAAAGTCAAGACGGTCTTTGGCCAGCAGCTAGACCTGCATTATATGAACAATGAGGTAAAGTGTTATACTGTGGCCCCCCCCGCCCCCCCCTTCACCCAACCACCCACCCACAGCTGCTCCTTCCTCAAGAATTTGACGGATCGTTGAGTCGAGACATGTTCAGAGTCAAGTAAAAGATGCAGGAAGACACCGTGACATCATTCAAATTGTACTTTAAATCTTAAGATGTTATGTTCTTAAATAGTAGTTGTAAATCCTCTTTTGAGGAAGGGCAAGTAATGTGGTAAATGGAAACATGAGTAATGGATCATCCGTTATCAACTTTCCAATTCTCATTCGCTCAATTGTGCCTTCCTGCATGTCTGTTTTCTGTGTTGGTTTAATGTTCGTGCATTTTACGTTTGAACAGCAGCCTGTGTATGCTTGTAAATGTTGGCAAGAATTTGTTTCCATGTAATTTTGAATGTGTGTGTTCTTTTTGTTGTCTGGTTTCTTGGCAGTTGTCCATTCCTCTGCGAGGACAGGATGACCTTGACAAGGCAATCGACTTGCTAGACCGGAGCTCCAACATGAAGAGCATCAGGATACTGCTTCTCACTCAGGAGCACAGCAATGTAAGACTCAAGACACACACACACACACACACACACACACACACACACACACACACACACACACACACACACACACACACAGGGGCGTGCATTTACAGCATACAGTTGCATCACTACCATTTCTCCACCACAGCGCCATGTTCTGAAATACCCAAGTTCCTGATTTACCGACACTAACTGGTTTGATGACATGAGGAAATTGTTAAATGTGTTAAAGCATTGTTCACATCTTCTGTTCTCCTATCTTTTCCCAAACTACAGGCGTCCTCTCCTTCCCACCACGTGCCATGTAAGCAGGTGAGGATCAAATCCTCCCACTCCACTGGAGATGTGAGCACAGTGTACCAAAGCTCCGAGCCCAGGGGGCGTCACCTATCAACTGGTAAATACTGTGATTTCTGGTCTATTTAAAGTTCTTCACAATTTTACTCATTTGAGAAAAAAAGAGATCTGATTGACTTGAACTGGATTATATCTCCTGAGAGTTACTGAATTATCAGTTATGGATATTTTTGTTGTGCCTTGATTTCCTTGCCTGTCTTATTTTACTCTCTTGTACTGGTGTTTCTTTTGCTTCCCCTTGTTGCAATGGGTCCTCTTCCTTTTCCTGTTCACCATCACTAGACGATGCCTGCTGGACAGCAGCCAATCAGATTACAGAATGCTATTAGTGTGGCGGACCAGTGGTCTGTTTTAGGATTTTTTTTTTTTCCCCCTCTAGAAGAGGAGGGGTCAAAGTAGCTCCTAGAAGGCTTGAGAGCTTTGCATCATAACAAGTTTAAATGCTGAAACTAGTTCTCATTGTTGCCTTATCTTTGTTGGTCAGCAAGAAGAAAACCCCCAAAATTACAACATGGATGTGTCCTCGAGTTTTTTGACTGTAGTCTCAACAGCAACATGTACGACTTTCATGTGTACAGGAAAATAAAAATTAGTTTCAGTTGAGAGGAACAGAGCCTAACAATTTTTAAAATCAGGCAAACATGTAACTTGCTAATACACATCATTTCTGACTGATTCCAGGTTCTCAGAACACAGGGCGTAGTTCCCCACCTCCTGGCTACGTCCCTGAACGCCAGCAGAGGATCGCCCGCCAAGGTTCATACACCAGCATAAACAGTGAGGGAGAGTTCATCCCAGAAACCAGCGATCAATGCGTGAGCCATCTCTTTATTCATAATGGGGGAAAAGAAAACTTATAATAGAAATCATATGGATCTTGTGTCTTTGTGATTACGACTTTTAAGATTTGTTTACATATGAGATTCAATTAAGATCTTTTCCGACTTTGGTTTTTAATGGGCTGTGAGGCTGACATGATGAGATTTTGTAAACATGTTCTTAAGAAGTTCAAATTAAGTTTGGGAGTAAAAAGCTGAACTAAGTGCTCGGTGAATTCCCCAGATTTGCTCATCTCCATTTTCCAGTACAGAAAATGAAAGTTTTCAAAAACATAGTCCTGTGTGTACGCAAACCACACGCGCATAAAAACGGACACTCTGAATTTTCCATTGTGCCCTGTGCAGGTGCTGGATCCCTGGAGCAGTGCAGAGAACTCAATTTCTGGAAGCTGCCAGTCTCTGGACAGCAACTCAGACAGGTGACAAACAGGCTCTGCCTGCTAAATACAAAACTAACACTGATGCCTCCTGCCAGGAGCTTCTCCATTACATTTCAACTACTGGTATTTGGAAAATAAAATAAATGCAATGTTTTGCTGATGAAACGCTTAGTTTATTATGGGAAGGCTTCTAAACATACCTCAGTCTTCATCCTTCCCGCTCCTCTTTCACAGCCCCTCACTGAGGAAGTCTCGCATGCACAGAGCCAAGAGTTACCCTGATAATCGTCAAGAGTGCTCAGGTAACAACCAGGCCAAGTATTTCCATTACCTATATAGAAAGATGATTACAGCACTCATGTAATAAGACATACAATGTGTGCATTCAGTCAATACCTTAGTATGTCTTTAAAGCCCTGAAGACAAGTTTTTAGCAAACTGCCCTGCGCTTTGATAAGCTGTGTGCATATCATTAATTACTGATCTGTTATCTATCTATTATACACAATATAATCATTTAATAATAATTTATCTGTTATCTACTTTTGTTAATCAGTGTTTTCTTGTCAGTGATAATGTAAACTGGCTGCAAGCTTACATGAACAGCATTTTTTGTAAGTACAAGAGACAAAATAGAATATCAAAGAAGCTAAATTTAATGGTACGTGACACCGTGCAGCTAACTAAACTGTTGTTCAACTGCAGCTTCCTCCTGAGCTATGACACTCTGGGTGTTTGTTTTCAGATCGGGAGAATCATGTGTATGACAGGGTTGCAGGGAAGGGAGGCACCTTTCCTCGAAGGTACCTTGTGTCCCTCCCTTATAAGGACAACAGTGAAGGTGAGATTAATGATATCTACTATATATGTAGCATTTTTCAAGTAGGTAAATTTTTTTTTCCTACTGCCTCCATCTGTAGTATAGCCTTCCTTAGTCTCACCATTCACAATGTTATATTAGAATCAGCCGCACTCTTTCCTGTTCTCCTCAAGGTCGCCGAACGTTTCCACGGATTCGTCGCCCTCAGGGGAACCTTTTCACTCTAGTGCCCTCAAGACGGTCACTTAATGGCAGTGAGGAGAGTCTGGGCAGCTGGCAGCAGGTCGACGCACAAGGCAGGCTACGCCCCCAGGATCGTTCTGTTCCCCATAAGTGTGAGTAAAACACAACTTTTTAATAAAAAGGTTCATACGCAGTGCTTGTGACAGAGGTGAATAAATGAGTCAACAGTGCTAATTATTTTTTTCAGCTGAAGCTTATCTCAATCATGATAGTTCCTGTTATACTGCATCATAAAGAAAAAAACATTTGATTTCATCCTCTTCATAAAATCACCCACGGGAGCAAAATTATAGTGTCGGTAAATGAAACTTGTAACTAAATTTGACAGGAAGTTCGGTTTGTTTTTTTCAAATTGTCAAATGACAATTTTAACTCCGGGTACTTGGAGCCAAGTCTGCCTTAAAGACTGGATTTGAAATTGTAACTGGAAATGACCATTTAAGGAAGTTGTGTAACAGTCCTGAGATCAATTCCACCATTAGGCCGGCGTCTTTCTGTCTGTTTAGTTTGCATGTTCTTCCCGTGTTTGTGTGGGTTCTCTCTGAGTACTCCGGCTTCCTCCCACAGTCCAAAGACATGCAGTTAGTGGGGATAGGTTAAATGGAAAATCTAAATTGCCCATAGGTGTGAATGTGAGTATGAGGTGTGTATATGTGTTAACCCTGCGACAGATTGGCGACCTGTTCAGGGTGTACGCTGCCTCTCGCCCTAAGACAGCTGGGAAAGGCTCCAGCCCCGTGCGACCCTGAAAAGGATAAGTGGAAGAGAATGAATGGATACATAAAACGACAACCAACAAATGTTTTGTTTTTTGTTTTTTGTCTGTTTGTTTTCAGCGCCCAGTGCTCCGGTGACGTGGCGCCGAGGGAAGCTTCTGGGCCAGGGCGCGTTTGGTCAGGTTTACCTGTGTTATGATGTAGATACTGGGAGAGAGCTGGCTGCCAAGCAAGTCCAGTTTGATCCTGACAGTCCTGAGACCAGTAAGGTGAGGAGCTAGGAGATATTCATTGACACGGATGGTTATGCATACCTTCATAAGCAGAATTTTTTTTTTTCCACATGTGTGGGTGTTCTCGCTATTTCTCTCCCTGGTACTCTTATTTCCACGGTGACTTTCTTGTTATGCTCACATGTTGTATATTTGCAAACTTTTGCTTTTGCTTGTACATTAAAATTGTTTGTCAGAAGGTTACATCACATCCTCTTTTTACTGTATATCTCATGAATGATGAAATCGTTTTTTTCTTCTTGTTTTTTTTTAATGTCAAACTCAAGGTTGCACATTACTGACAAGTCATGAGTCGGGACCAATGTCCAGCTGAAAATGTGCCAAGTGTGACTTCATACGATAATCTGTTCGGGTCATTATGCTGGAATGTAGATTGTTAGCAGGAATAGCTGAGCATGGGATTAATAAATCAACCAACATCCACAGTTTAGCTACGGCTCTGGATTCAAGCTTCCAATTTTATTTTATCCCCCGAGACAGAAATAAAAGCCTGCTGGAAGGAAAATCAACAAACTAAAAGTGGAATGCATCGTAGAAGTTGTCCTTCCACCATCAACCCCCCTCTTCCCCATTTTAATTTCTTTTCCTGTCTGCCACAGAGAAAACACGCACTGTCACTTCCTGTATCTGAGAGCAGCCAGATATTGCAGTGGTGACGGAGGGGCGATGCATTGCATTGACCTCTTGTTACCCCTTCACACCCCCACTCCCACCTCCTGCTTGTAGCAAATGTGATTCAGTATTTGCTTCTGTTAAAGCAGCTTCAGTGCTGGGACCTGGGGATTAATTTGTGTCCCTCTGAGTTCCTATTCTTCCTTTCTCTCTGTCTCTCTCTCTCTGCTGTGGCCTAATTCTCTGAAGTAAACACAGGAACTACTTTTAGGGAACTGTGCTGTTGGCTTTTATTGACTCCCTGCATTAGTTTCCACTTTTGGCTTGACTTCACATGCAGTAAAGAAAAAGTAGCATTTGTTTATGATGACTGTGTAATGCTAACTGATATAACAGGGTCTGGGGTGGGAATTAGCTGTAGCTGAAATCCACATTGTGCAATTTGCAAATCCATAAAAATGCAAAGATGTTGAAAAATTATAGATTTTCTGTTATTTGTTGCCCTTTCTTCAGTTTTTAATTTTCCCTGTGTTCCCTGTTCTGTGCAGGAGGTCAGTGCTTTAGAGTGCGAAATCCAGCTGCTGAAAAACCTACATCACGAGCGCATTGTTCAGTACTACGGTTGTTTGAGGGATCACAACGAGAAAACTCTCACTATTTTCATGGAGTACATGCCGGGGGTGAGTCTCAGCAGCTCTCATTTTACAGATTCAGGCAAAGCAGTGATTGTTTTCATGATAATCATTTGCTCAATCGCAGGCTGTGTGTTCATTTCCATTGCATGTAGGACTGAAACCAGTCGCACGAGGGCAACAAAGACACAAATGTCCACGAGTTAATGTTTTGCATTGCTGTGTTGACAATATAAACATATTTTTTTATTCAGTAAAGCGATTTGACCACTGTAGCTCACAGTAACTGGGCAGTTTTTTGTTTTTTAACTATTCTAGAAACTAGTGACAGAAAGTGACAATGTGTGATTTTACTTAAGCAGGGAAAGTAAAATAATGTTTTTCTTTACTCATATGCAGTTGTTTGTTATTGAATAACTGGTTGAGAAACACATGTTTGTTTCCTTTTCATTCTTCTGTCATCTTCAGCTTTTTAACTTGATTTCTTAGCTCATTGTCTTTACTCTTTATTGCATTCACTATCTCTGACTTGTTAAGCTGTTGTTTTAAGGCATTACCATGTAAAACCTGTGATTTCTTCCTGTCAGGGTTCTGTCAAAGATCAGCTGAAGGCCTATGGGGCCCTGACAGAAAATGTCACCCGCAAGTACACAAGGCAGATACTGGAAGGCATGTCCTATCTGCACAGCAACATGATTGTACACAGGGACATCAAAGGTAGTCTGTTTAACTGCAGATACTGAAACATCATGCTCTGCAGAAAGAAAACGTTTAGTGTTTTATAATGATGCTTAGTTCTTCGATGATGATTATTGACATGTAATATTTGCATGTTTCATATCAACTGTGGCTTTCAGGTGCCAACATCCTGCGGGATTCAGCGGGAAACGTGAAGCTTGGAGATTTTGGTGCCAGCAAAAGGCTCCAGACCATCTGCATGTCTGGCACCGGCATACGCTCTGTAACCGGCACCCCCTACTGGATGAGTCCGGAGGTGATCAGTGGAGAGGGCTACGGAAGGAAAGCTGATGTCTGGTAAGACCAAAAGATCCACTTCAGTTTAGTTTTGTCCAAGTGGATCAAGGCGGTGTGTTAAACTGAAGTTGACCTCTGCACCGTTTCAAAAGGCTTGCTGACATACAGTTTATTTGCTAGAAAGAGAGAGAGGCTTAGTAGAAACTGATACAAATGCATGATGATGGTACAGTTTTTGGTGTTGACATGGATGCGTTAGATGGGGCACAAAATAATGACTAAAACTACAAGAACTATATTCTTAATCTGTGTATTTACTCAAGGACTGCACCTTGAGTACATCTTTTTATGCCTCCTTGCTTTATTCTTTTGGTACACTGCTTCTTTACAGCAACATCCATACATGAAGCATTCTCTACTTCAGTTTTTTGTGTCTCTCAGTTAACAAATCAACTTACACATTAAACATAGAGTAAAAAAAACAAGGTTTAATGTTGTCAGGTCACGGAAATCTTATTTTACATACAGATGTATCTTTACCCAAATCCTTCAGTAGACTGGCAACCTGTCCAGGATGTACCCCCTCTGTCCCAGTGACAGCTAAGATATGCTCCTGCAGTAGCTGCAGTAGTGAATGAGATCACCAGCAGTCTTTATTCACTAACAATCGGGTGTTTGTTGCTGCGATTGGTGCTGGAAACTTGTGTGAGAGTGAAACAAACACATGAAGCACCTTGATTGAAGTAACAAACTGCTAAGTTTATTGGGCAGAAACACTTGAAGATGAAATTAGGATCACACAATGAGGGAATGGGGAGGCTGAGATGTGTGAAAATACCAGGCTATTACTTGGTAAGCAGGAGTAACAATGTTCTCTCAAAAGAAAACACTAAATTGTGTGAGGAGCCTGCTGTATGAAACCCACTTTCTACTACACTCCCACACACAGCAGACCACATTCCCTCATGCAGTCTAATTGGGTGGTGACCCACCAGGCGAGTGATGTGATTGGCTGAAGGCCAGTCAAACAGGTCATTACAGAAGTTGGTATGTTCCAGGTTTTCAGCTTGTGCTGGAAGGAGAGTAATGCTCCCAGATAGGTGGCAGAGGCCATCTGCAGACAGTGTGTGTCGAAGTTTCCACCAAGCACATTCCTGTAAGGCTTTAGGAGTGAGTCGCACAGAAAAAATGTGGTATTTGTTTCAACTTGTTTTGAGACTCCACTGTAAGTCATATTAAAGTTACATTTATTGTGTATGTCTTTTTTAGGAGTCTTGGTTGCACAGTGGTCGAAATGCTGACAGAAAAGCCACCGTGGGCTGAATATGAGGCCATGGCAGCGATATTCAAGATTGCCACCCAGCCCACCAACCCGCTTCTGCCCTCGCACACGTCCGACCAGGCACGGGACTTCATCCGCAGCATTTTTGTGGAAGCCAAACACAGGCCCAGTGCTGAGGAGCTGCTCAGACACCCTTTCTCCCAGATACTGTGTTGAGACCTGCGTGGTTTCTGAACTGAACCACAGAGTAGCCTCAGCAGCATGTGCAGCTTCCTTAAGATCCCAGAAATCCAGACATAGAGATGACTGAGATGTCAGTGTTAAGGGCACTGAGCTTCTTCCAGGACTCAGATACTTCAAAGAAGATTTCTCACAAGCACGTCCAAAGAACACAAACATCACTGACCATGGCAGTCAACACGAAGCCTTAGAAATGCCAGTATGTGCTCTTACAAGAGTCTCCACAAGGGGGGAACAAAACACAGATTAAGTAGCTTGATAGATTCAAGCTCACACAGTCACACACACCAAATGATGCACTCCAAAGGCAGAATGATGTAGTTAAGGCTCAAGCACCAGTTGCATCAGCTCCCATGTTTACATTCACTTGTGCAGTTATGAGAAATACCAGATATCCTTAAGTATTTAAATCTAAACATGCAGCTTAGGCTCATTTTAAAGCTACAGTGAGCCGAAAGTGTAAGCTGAACCACAGTGTCGCTAAATGGACAAGATTGCTGTTCTGTTTTCCCCATCTTGTCCATCTCCATCTTTCTGAGACAAAGAAATCTCTCTTTTTAAGCTATTTGTGATGCACTTTTTCAGTTTTTACCCCTTTAAAATTAAGATGTTTTAGGATGGTTTAGTTATCTTGGTAAAAGGGAAGATAGGAAATTTGGATAACATCATGATAGGACACAAATACACAAAGCCTGATGATATTATCTTGAATAGACGATGATCCTCCACAACTATGAGGGTCATTTGTTTTTCTGTTTATTGCATTTGAATGGATGTAACATTAGTTTATCTGGAAAATAATCATCCTGCAGTCTTTGAACAGAATATATAAGAAAAATCTTTTTAAAACATGAAGTAGAAATCAAGACTTTGTAACTACCAAAGAGTTGTCGTGTGCGGCTAAAGTAAGAAACGCATGTTACTCCCAACTTGACCAATTAGTTTAAATTAGTTAGTTTTTTACTCAAGTTTAATTTTGAGAAACTACATTTCTGAAGCAAACTTTTCAACGATTGCCAGGTGTTTTGTTTTTTTGACATGCTTCGCTCTTTCACTTGAAACTAGTTTTTATGTGTGAGAGGTGCAAACAGGAGCAATGCAGGTGCTTAGCCTGATCTAAGAGAGATTTTTCTAACAGTTAGTTTTCAGGTAGAAGAACAATATCTACTCTTTCAGGCCGTCTTAATGCATTCAGGTAAATTCAGAAAATCAGTGCATTTCAATACAGTCTGGGGACTGAGCTGAATAATGTAATAAACAGTTTAAGGGATGTTTAGGGTGGAACTTCACCTCGTAGTAACTAATTTTTCTGTCAGACATCCTCCTGCTGTAGCTCAGAGCAGGAGTAGATAAACTAACCTTGTATGTATAAAAGTAAATCAGATGACGCTTTTTATTGTTTGAAAAGTCAAACTAAAGGCCTTAATGTGATGGGCTTTCTTCGTGTTCACGTGTGTCTGGCCCAGACCTCCCTGACTGAGAAGCTTTAGCGTAAAGATCAATTTAAATCAGATGCACTTTTCTATAAAAGGAATGTTTGTGATGTTTTGGTTTGTTTAACTTCAAATGTGAAAATTCTTTCACTTGTATTTATATCCCCATGTCCACTCCAGTTAGATGTTTATAGGTATATATGTTTAAATATATTTTTTATATTCAGACTCTGTCAAAGCTAATGATACTTTGAGGACTTAGTTTTGTTAAAAGTGACTCATTGAAAGCAACTGGTTTTGCAGACATTTCAGAAATGGGGTTTATAAATGAAAAATGGATGGAAAACGAACTCAGGCTGCCTGGTTTTTGTTCCAGTGCAGAAAAATGTTTCCACACATCCTTAGCTATACATTTTGAAGGCAGTATTACCTGACAGGTTATGGAAAATTTGCATGATTGGCCATACTGTTTTGACTCATCTAGGAGACTCATGAATGAAACCTTTAGGGGTTTAACTTACAAAAGAAATTTCTAGGAATATTTTTCTGTGAACTCAGTGTTATTAAAGCATAATTAAGTGGTGTGTGAGCCAAAGACAAACAGGATCAGAGCCAGCGCTGAATGTCAGAGTTCGCTGTTCAACCCAGACGACGACTTTGTTTATCCCAGGGTTCAGACGAGTCCAGTATTAAATGATTTTTCTGGGCAATAAGCTTGCTACTGCCGTAACTGTAATAGAAAACTATTTCTATGGGGCTGCTACATGCTAAAGGCAGCTAAAATGTGTTTTAAGTGATGCAGTTTTAAAGAAATTAAGGACCCTAGGATGATCAAATGAATACAGACTAGCTGGTAGAAATCAATATATGTAAATGTATTATATGTATCATGACAAGACTTGCAGTGCAAAGTCTAATGTATCAAATTTATTTTACAGCAAGAAAAGAATAGTATGTTATATATAAATATATACTGTATATATGTCCTTCCCTGTCTCAAAAACAAATAAATAGTTTTTAAATATGCTGTCTAATTGTTATCAGTGTATTTATATGCGTGGGAGGACGAGCCTGTCCAAACCCAGTGAGTCCTGTAAATGAGGGGACACAGGAGACTGAGCTCATTGTTGGCAATAAGAAGCTACTTGATTGATGCGCTCGTTTTTCTTTTCTCTCCCTCCCTCGCTCTGTTTCTTCCTCTCGTTTGGCTCTTTCACTCCTCTCATGAGGGAAAGCAGGAGGCAGACACAGGAAGAAGAGATTTCTACAGGCCGTGTCCGCCTGTGAGATGGATAAACAGACTGTATCGAACAAAGGGTCTTTTTTTTTTCGTGAACTGGTGTCATATAGACATTCCCTTACTTTTGAGAGGCTTTGTTTTTATTGTCTTTTCACTCTTTTTTTTGAGAATGGGATTATAGTGTAGAGTGAGATTTTAGGGTAAATGACAGCTTTCTTTTCTTTTGTTTCAACTAATCATTTTACCACAAATGTGCTGCATAGATTATCCATAAAGAAACCATTCATTGGTTTTAATTGGTTCAAAACTGTTTGTCAAAGCACATCCTGTAGTATTCTCATCCTATCAAAATACTTTGCTAAACTAATGACATCGCTGTCTGCTAGATAACTTAGTAACTAGTATTTGCAACTTGTTAAACATGGAGAACGAGGCCTCTAAATATCTGAAGGTTAGGATTATAACTGTGAGCTGATGATGTTAACGCTTATCCAACAAAAACTCTAGCGTGCCCTCTCTTTCTTGTCTTTAATGAGGCTGTAAATTCTGACATGTTAATGATTTTCTGACCTGAGTATAATCAAGTGAAGCTTGGGTTGTTATCTGAGTGCCATCCTCATTATGTGATGTGTAGGGTAAGCAGAGCTATCTGTGTGTATTTGGGCCCCCAGCATTCCTGCTGACAGGCAGACTGGAGCTTGGGCTCTAAACCCCGTCTCTCTGACGTCTTCTTTGTGGCTACGCTCTGTTTGGACCTAGTGGTGCTGAGTCATATTGCTGTTCAGTCTGTCCCAGTTAAGCCCCCCTGATTTTCATTAAAACCCTTTTCCCATAAGGCCTTGCAGCTTCAGTAGAACCCAAGCATTCAGCTGTGTTGTTTTTAACTGTCAAGTCTCCATCGGCACCAGCCTACAGTCAGTACCAGCAGTGGGAGAGTGCTCAGATCCTTTGTTTATTGCACAAGAACAGGTGTTTTCATTTATTTTCCCCAATTAGTCCTCTTTTTTTTGGGGGGGGGAGTGTTATGGAAATAACCGAAGTATGAAAACCTTCCCACCGTTGAAGCTGAATGAAGCAAGTAGGAGATTCAGACAGACAGGCACGCTCCACACACTCCACACACTCCTTAGATGGGATTTAATTAAGCATATAAATTAAAGGAGCTCAGTGCCCCTGTATTATATGTGACTAGTAGGGAAAATTGGAAGTAGGTTTAAGAATTTTATATATTTTTAATATTTAACTTATAACAGGATGTTTTTATATAAAGGAAAGAACCATTTTTGTATAATGGCAGAAAATTAAATCTACTTATTTTCCCTCCACAAGTCTCAGTTAATCAGCCAAGAGCCCTGCACACCAGGTAAATGTAAAGATATGGTAGGTTCATAGTAATCTCATGTACAATAATTTCTCTCAAGAAGGACAAGGAGTAAAATGAAAACTATACTGCACCATGAGGATCAGTTTACAGACAAGAAATACGCCTAGTTTTAGGCATAAATAAAATCTGCATTAAATTATGTTGTTGTTTTTTAATATTCCTAACAATATCAGTGTCTGAGTTGGCTCAACTATGCAGGGAATTATGCAAAGTCACTAAAAAGTATAATTTGTCCTGACCAAACAAGTGCAGCAGGGGTGTGAGGGACACAATCAAGCACTCTTCCCACCTGCATAGTCGTTGGGGGATGCAAGTCTCATGTTCACAAGGATTAATGCAGATAGGTTAAATTCATCTTGTTTAATTTGTTGCAGGACATCATTTTGTGGGTGTAACACTTTTTTTTTAAACCCAAAGCACCTAGTTTTGATTAAGGCCTATCCCTTAATTTAAACCCTGTCTGTCCTTGATGTAGTGATGAAGGTGGGGCTGAGATAGTTGTATTTCCAGCTTGTTGGTCAGGATTCAGTTTGGTATGTGGCCATGTACATTCAGACATCAGCCAGGTTGAAGAATGGTAGCTGAGAGGTTCACACTGGGGTTTCTGGACGCAAAATGCCAGAGCAGTCAAACCTAGCTGGCTGCAGTTTTACCTTGGCCTGAGATCATTTCAGTTTTAAGATTCTGCCCCACACCCCTTCTTTTTGTAAGTCCTGCAGATGAGATGGTCTTCTTGTGCTGGATCTATGAATCAGCTGTTTGACTTGGCCCTTCATAAAACTCTTGCAGCAGGGAGCAAAGAGAAGGAGAGGTCTGCAGCACCACTTTTACTCTCTTTCTGCGTAGATGTTTAATCATCAGGTCATATTACCTCAGTGACCAGAACTGGGGCAACGGTGGTGATTGCCGGAAAAATTCAGAGGGGCGAAACAATTACTGTCACCTTAATGATGCAAGCATGCTATTAATCCTTAGAGATGGAGCCTTTTTAATCAACAAATCTCTGCCAGACTTACAGTGTGCCATCTTGTTTAACCTGCATTAAGAGATACCAATTAGAATTCAAGACAGTGCGTTGTTGTTTTTCTTCTTTACTAGCAACAACACTCAGAGGCCAAATAGTAAAGTCCTAGGGCCTTTATTCACTGTCTCCCACTGAATAAAGGCACTATGATTGGTCTACAGTCCCTGTGATTTTATGGCCTAGTAACAAAGAAATCCTTTATGAACCACTGCTGTTGTGGTTTTTACTACCTTCAGCAAGTTAATGTGCTACTGCCAGTCTGATCTTTCCAACACCAAACAAGAACAGAATTGATATTTTTTCTGGAATTTAACCAAATACTGGTGCTTTTTTTTTTTTTTTTTTTTTTTTGCCATGTTGCAACTGTTTTTTGTTTTTGTTTTTTTTTTGGGGGGGGTGCAGAGCCCAAATGTAGAACTAAACAAAAGGCAAGCCTTTATAGAGGTTGATCAAGGTT